ACTACACATAATGTTCAAGAGAAATAAAGCCTTCCACTACTACAAGAAGATGGGCTCAGATATCCTACTACTTCAGGAAACACATTTCTCTAAATCTTCTGCTCTGAAATTCCTCCATTCGAATTATTCAAAATATTATTTAGCTACTAGTCAGGAAAAGAAGAAAGGGGTGGCAATATGTTTTGCTAAGGTAATCCCTTTCACCCCAAAGGAGGTCATAAGGGATAAGGAGGGCAGATATATATTGGTAACAGGAAGGATCAATGATATTGCAGTTTCCTTTGTGTCTTATTACGCCCCTAATACTGGTCAATTGGCCTTCTTCCGTTCTCTGCTAGACATTATCCTGCCTCATGTGGAGGGTCACTTGGTAATCAGGGAAGACAGCAACACATCCCTGGACCAAATTCTTGATAAGCCGAATCCTAACAGAACCTCTTTGAAATATGTTCTTAAACAGGGTTGTTTTTTGGCTAAACTACTGTATCATCATGACCTTACAGAAGTGTGGAGAAACTTGGTCAGAGATTACACCTATTTCTCTCATGTCCATAAATCCTATTCCAGAATTGATCATCTCTTTACAAATTCCTCACTCTTTCCATTCATGTCAAATACGAAAATGTATACTATTCCCTAGTCGGACCATTCCCCGGTCTTTATGACAATTACTGATCTGTGGTTTAGACCCCAACTCTCACCCTGGAGACTTAATGCGTCCCTGCTTACTGATCCGACTTTATGTGCCAACTTAGAGACAGAACTTTGCTTGTTTTTCCAGGATAATGTACCCACAGCCTTGTCTGCAGCCGTGGTCTGGACGGCTGATAAAGTGACCATCAGAGGTAATCAAACAACAGGAAAAGAAGCTTAATGACCTGTTAGGGACTCAAAAGCATAATCCCCATACTGACCTTTGGCAGCAAATCGACTCACCTCGCTTTCCCCTAAACATTAGTCTGACAACTAAAGCCGAAAAACATATGCGCTGGTCAAGACATAAATATTATTATTTGAGGGACAAACCAAACACTCCCCTGGCTCTCAAATTAACCCCAAAACATTTTAACTCGGCCCTGCCTAAATTGCGTACGCATATTTGGACCCCGACTCAGAACCCAAAAGTCATTATTAGAGATGAGCGAATCGAACATGGCGAAGTGGAATTCGTTTCGAAGATCAGGAAAAATTCGATTCGCGCCGAATCCGAAAATTAGCAAACTTCGGATGCACGAATCGAATTTTCCCAAAAATGGCGGCGACATGTGTGGCGACGGAGCGGGGATCTCTGGGAAGGCGCGCAGACAAGGCGCGCTGACCCATAATGCATTCATTCATGACATGTGATCGCATTAGCCAATCAGCAGCCAGCCAGCCAGCACTGTGTAATGGTGGAGCTATAAATTGCGGCCATCTTAGAATTCTCCATTAGCCTCCGGTCATTCAAGAGAGACAGACCTGTCTGTATTAGGGACAGAGTTAGGGCCACAGAGACTTTAGGGCCACAGAATCGTTACTCAGGGACACAGAATCGTTACTCAGGGACACAGAATTGTTACTCAGGGACACAGAATTGTTACTCAGGGACACAGAATCGTTACTCAGGGACAGACACAGAATTGTTACTCAGGGACACAGAATTGTTACTCAGGGACACAGAATCGTTACTCAGGGACACAGAATTGTTACTCAGGGACACAGAATCGTTAGTCAGGGACACAGAATTGTTACTCAGGGACACAGAATCGTTACTCAGGGACACAGAATTGTTACTCAGGGACACAGAGTCGACGACTATCAAGAGTCCAATGGCAGAGTGGCGGAGCAGAAGCAGCTTCAATTGAAGGCCATACACAGGCCTAGGTTTAAAAGTCCCTCACAGTTAATTCCAATAACGAACTCTACTCCTCCGTGCAATCTACTTACGAGACCCTGGGCAGGTCTGGGTCCAATTTGTGGTAGAGACTGGTTTTGTTCAGCCATGCTTGAGCGAGTAATAACTGGTCTGTGCTGCCCTTTGGTGTCTGGCTTAATGCGCACAACACTGAACGTCCCAGCGTTTGTCAATGATTTGCCGTTAAGTGATGCAAACCCGCTGAACCACGTTCATGAGGAGCCGGTACAGGGGGCCATGAATCAGTATGGACCTGGCAGCAGCGTGAGCAGACGACTGAGGCACATGGCGCAGGGTGGCGGTGTAAACAGCATTATTCTGAAGCCATACACAGGCCTAGGTTAAAAAGCGGAAGCCGTCAGCAGCGTGAGCAGACGACAGAGGCACATGGCGCAGGGTGGCGGTGGATGCAGCAGTATTCGGAAGCCAAACACAGGCCTCGGTTAAAAAGCGGAAGCCGTCAGCAGCGTGAGCAGACGACAGAGGCACATGGCTCAGGGTGGCGGTGGAGGCAGCAGCAATGAAAGGCCATACAGCACCCTATCACAAAATGGAACCCACCAACAGTGTAAGGAGACCTGAAAGTGGCACATGGCAGAGTCTGGCGATGAAGTCAGCAGCAATGGGAGGCCGTACAGGGACCCATGACACACTCTGGACCTGGCAGCAGCAAGAGGAGGCGGTACAGGGGCCCATGGCAGAGTGGCGAAGCGTAAGCAGCTTAAATTGAAGGCCATACAGAGGCCCATGTTAAAAAGTCCCCCCAGCAGCAGCGTGGGGAGACGACTATGGGCCCACGTACCGACTCCTCATGCTGCTGCCAGGCCCGTAATCTGTCATGGGCCCCTGTACCGCCTCCTCATGCTGCTGCCAGGTCCAGAGTGTGTCATGGGTCCCTGTACGGCCTCCCATTGCTGCTGTCTCCATCGCCACACTCTGCCATGTGCCACTTTCAGGTCTCCTCACACTGCTGGTGGGTTCCATTTTGTCATAGGGTGCTGTATGGCCTCCCATTGCTGCTGCCAGGCCCGTAATCTGCCATGGGCCCCCGTACCGACTCCTCATGCTGCTGCCAGGCCCGTAATCTGTCATGGGCCCCTGTACCGCCTCCTCATGCTGCTGCCAGGTCCAGAGTGTGTCATGGGTCCCTGTACGGCCTCCCATTGCTGCTGTCTCCATCGCCACACTCTGCCATGTGCCACTTTCAGGTCTCCTCACACTGCTGGTGGGTTCCATTTTGTCATAGGGTGCTGTATGGCCTCCCATTGCTGCTGCCAGGCCCGTAATCTGCCATGGGCCCCCGTACCGACTCCTCATGCTGCTGCCAGGCCCGTAATCTGTCATGGGCCCCTGTACCCGCCTCCTCATGCTGCTGCCAGGTCCAGAGTGTGTCATGGGTCCCTGTACGGCCTCCCATTGCTGCTGTCTCCATCACCACACTCTGCCATGTGCCACTTTCAGGTCTCCTCACACTGCTGGTGGGTTCCATTTTGTCATAGGGTGCTGTATGGCCTCCCATTGCTGCTGCCAGGCCCGTAATCTGCCATGGGCCCCCGTACCGACTCCTCATGCTGCTGCCAGGCCCGTAATCTGTCATGGGCCCCTGTACCGCCTCCTCATGCTGCTGCCAGGTCCAGAGTGTGTCATGGGTCCCTGTACGGCCTCCCATTGCTGCTGTCTCCATCGCCACACTCTGCCATGTGCCACTTTCAGGTCTCCTCACACTGCTGGTGGGTTCCATTTTGTCATAGGGTGCTGTATGGCCTCCCATTGCTGCTGCCAGGCCCGTAATCTGCCATGGGCCCCCGTACCGACTCCTCATGCTGCTGCCAGGCCCGTAATCTGTCATGGGCCCCTGTACCACCTCCTCATGCTGCTGCCAGGTCCAGAGTGTGTCATGGGTCCCTGTACGGCCTCCCATTGCTGCTGTCTCCATCGCCACACTCTGCCATGTGCCACTTTCAGGTCTCCTCACACTGCTGGTGGGTTCCATTTTGTCATAGGGTGCTGTATGGCCTCCCATTGCTGCTGCCAGGCCCGTAATCTGCCATGGGCCCCCGTACCGACTCCTCCTGCTGCTGCCAGGCCCGTAATCTGTCATGGGCCCCTGTACCGCCTCCTCATGCTGCTGCCAGGTCCAGAGTGTGTCATGGGTCCCTGTACGGCCTCCCATTGCTGCTGTCTCCATCGCCACACTCTGCCATGTGCCACTTTCAGGTCTCCTCACACTGCTGGTGGGTTCCATTTTGTCATAGGGTGCTGTATGGCCTCCCATTGCTGCTGCCAGGCCCGTAATCTGCCATGGGCCCCCGTACCGACTCCTCATGCTGCTGCCAGGCCCGTAATCTGTCATGGGCCCCTGTACCGCCTCCTCATGCTGCTGCCAGGTCCAGAGTGTGTCATGGGTCCCTGTACGGCCTCCCATTGCTGCTGTCTCCATCGCCACACTCTGCCATGTGCCACTTTCAGGTCTCCTCACACTACTGGTGGGTTCCATTTTGTCATAGGGTGCTGTATGGCCTCCCATTTCTGCTGCCAGGCCCGTAATCTGCCATGGGCCCCCGTACCGACTCCTCATGCTGCTGCCAGGCCCGTAATCTGTCATGGGCCCCTGTACCGCCTCCTCATGCTGCTGCCAGGTCCAGAGTGTGTCATGGGTCCCTGTACGGCCTCCCATTGCTGCTGTCTCCATCGCCACACTCTGCCATGTGCCACTTTCAGGTCTCCTCACACTGCTGGTGGGTTCCATTTTGTCATAGGGTGCTGTATGGCCTCCCATTTCTGCTGCCAGGCCCGTAATCTGCCATGGGCCCCCGTACCGACTCCTCATGCTGCTGCCAGGCCCGTAATCTGTCATGGGCCCCTGTACCGCCTCCTCATGCTGCTGCCAGGTCCAGAGTGTGTCATGGGTCCCTGTACAGCCTCCCATTGCTGCTGTCTCCATCGCCACACCCTGCCATGTGCCACTTTCAGGTCTCCTCACACTGCTGGTGGGTTCCATTTTGTCATAGGGTGCTGTATGGCCTCCATTGCTGCTGCCAGGCCCGTAATCTGCCATGGGCCCCCGTACCGACTCCTCCTGCTGCTGCCAGGCCCGTAATCTGTCATGGGCCCCTGTACCGCCTCCTCATGCTGCTGCCAGGTCCAGAGTGTGTCATGGGTCCCTGTACGGCCTCCCATTGCTGCTGTCTCCATCGCCACACTCTGCCATGTGCCACTTTCAGGTCTCCTCACACTGCTGGTGGGTTCCATTTTGCATAGGGTGCTGCATGGCCTCCCATTGCTGCTGCCAGGCCCATAATCTGCCATGGGCCCCCGTACCGACTCCTCATGCTGCTGCCAGGCCCGTAATCTGTCATGGGCCCCTGTACCGCCTCCTCATGCTGCTGCCAGGTCCAGAGTGTGTCATGGGTCCCTGTACGGCCTCCCATTGCTGCTGTCTCCATCGCCACACTCTGCCATGTGCCACTTTCAGGTCTCCTCACACTGCTGGTGGGTTCCATTTTGTCATAGGGTGCTGTATGGCCTCCCATTGCTGCTGCCTCCACCGCCACACTGTGGCTCCACACTCTGGTTTTGGCCCCGTGACTGCCCAAATGAGTGAAGTGTGCGGTGATTCTAAGATCGACGGCACTCATCTGCATGTCATACTGACTGACAATATTATTTCTCTTCCCCAGCAGACTCCAAGGGCATTTAAATTAAAGGTACAGTGTTCTGCACTAATATAAAGGCTCTCTGAAGCCTAGAAACACCCTTTTTTACACGTTAAATTCGCAGCGAATATATTCGCCTCGAATCGAATTTATTCCGCGAATTCGGCGAATTAGCCGAATCGAATTTTTGAATAATTCGCTCATCTCTAGTCATTATCCATGAATTTTTTGAATTGTATGAAAAATTGTATGCTATGCCAGGACCGTTTCTGACCCCCTTACCTGATACTTTTTTTGGAACCTTCCACTACCTAGCTTTAAAGGGGAGCATACGGAACTGATGGATTCAGACTTTACGGATGCTGAAATATCATCAGAAATCAAATCATTAAACCCAACCAAAGCACCGGGCCTGGACGGATTTTCAGGGATTTATTATAGAAAGTATGCGGATATCCTGATTCCTCACCTCTGATCATACTTTAATGAGCTGCAGAGGGGGATCCAGTTAGGCCCACATGAGAATCACGAGATGATACATGTAATCTTTAAACTAGGCAAGGACCATGGAGATTGCTTGAACTATCGCCCGATTTAGTTCATTAATGTAGACTTAAAGATCATGACAAAGGTCTTGGCTAACCGGCTCAATACTTTTCTATCACGCTATATACACCCAGACCAAGTAGAGTTTGTCCCAGGCAGACAGGCCCCGGACCAAATGAGGAGACTCATAGATATCATTTCGCGGATTCATTCTGATTGGGATAAATAAGGCCAGAGAAAAGGTATGCTTCTGTCTTTAGACTTACAAAAAGCTTTTGATTCCCTGTCTTGGGATTACCTTTTTTATGTCCTACAAAAGTTCAGGTTCGGTTCCAAATTTTTGACTTTGCTAAGTGCATTTTATAGTGGACCTACAGCTCATCTCCAGATAAAGGGTTACAGTTCCCTTCGTTTGCTGATAGGCAGAGGAACACGTCAGGGATGCCCCATGTCTCCCCTGCTGTTCATCTTAGCAGTAGAACCCTTGGCCATCAGCATTCGAGAAAATAATGATATCCAGGGTATCCCCTGTGGGGGAATGACACACAAATGTGCGATATTCGCGGACGATGTGTTGATGCTTCTCCTCTCCCCGATTACCTTTATTCCTAACCTTTATATAGTCCTGAAATCCTTCTCGTCAATATCTGGTCTCTGCATTAATCACCACAAATCTCAATCGATGAACATCGCCCTGGATGAGAGAACGGTCCAGGCCATTCAAAGCTTCTTCCCATTTAAATGGCAACAGGTTGCTCTTCTCTATTTAGGAATAAAGTTAACTCTGAATTTTCAAACAATTTCCCCCCACTATATAAAACACTCTCAGAAGATATGGCATGTTGGTCAATTAGCCCCCCATCATGGTTCGGCAGGCTGCACTCGCTCAAAATGAATGTGTTACCTATATTGTTATACCTTTTTAGGATGCTTCTAGTGCCTATAAATATATCTGACCTAAAGAAGTTTCAACGCTCAGTATCTGCGTACATCTGGGGAAACAAGAGACCTAGGGTGAACAAAAAAATACTTCATACTCCTGGGCTACAAGGAGGATTGGGATCCCTGATCTGCTGCGTTATTATCAAGCAACTCAGATAGCATGCCTGATCATTCACCATATGAAACACAGCCTCCCCATTTGCCCCAGTCTCCCATTTCCTATGCCTCCCATCCAAAGCTCGTCCTCCACTCCTATGCCCCACCTTATCATTCATAATGAATATGTGGGATGGATTGCCCTCTAGACATTCGTTTCGATCAGCCCACATGCCACTTGTGCCATTGTTGGCAAACCCTGCATTTATCTGGGGTCTCCTCCCCCAAGCATTTACATGGTGGACAAACAAAGGGCTTTTACCTATAGCAGATTTTTATGACCATAGAGGAATGAGGACAATCCGCTATTTTAAAGAAAAATATGATAGGCCACCCACTGAATACTATCATTATACCCAAATAGTTAATTTTATATCCTCGTTGAAACAGGGTTCTGATCTCATGACTACTGCTTTTATGGAATACTTATGTTTGAATATCGATAAATGCTCGGGTTACATATCAAAGGTATACATTATTCTGTCCTCTCAGGATGGCAAACTACCCTATATGACCAGATGGGAGCAAGATATGAACTAGTCCCTTGACCCTGCAGAATGGCCCAAAGTAGCCCAAGGGGCTGCCAAAGCAATTTCGAACACATCTTTAATTGAGGCTAATTACAAAGTCTTACTAAGGTGGCACATAGTTCCAGCCAGGATAGCTCAGTGGAAACCAGATGCTTCCTCTAAGTGCTTCCGAGGCTGTGGTTAGGAAGGGACGGCTTATCATGTTTGGTGGTCGTGCCCAAAGGTCTGTAGATTCTGGATCCGCATCTATAACTTCCTTTATGAATTTGATTAAATCCCCGCAACAGGCTGTATTAGGTTGTCCTGCGAAAGGGACCCTAAGACCATCTCAACGCCTCATAACATTCACATTCATAGCGGCAAGGATCACAATAGCGAGATGTTGGAAATCGCCTGTGATCCCTTTTGACCTAGTAAAGTCTAAATTGTTCTGGATAATGTTGAACAAATGCTTATCTTCCATTCTGCAGGACAGGTTATCAAACTTTGGCAGAACTTGGGAACCTTGGATTGACTAACTTACAGGCTCCACTCAATTGGGTTAGCTGAAAGCCCCTTTGAGCCACAGTAATGACTTGCTGATTCTCCCTTATCCCCCCCCCCTCTTTTTTTCTCTTTCTCTTTTCTCTTCCTTGATTCCTCTGCACCTATTTCTTCACCTATATTTTCAGCCGGTTTATGGACTGTAAGCCATTATGGAGAGGGCGTGGGGCCACGGGCTGATAGGCGGGTTCCCCCCCCATCTCCAGGGCGGCCAGAGCCGATGGGATCACACCTCAGGGCCAATGGGTTCTGGGAGCCTCCCCAGGCTTCAGATGGAGGATCTCGGTGTGGGGGGATCCCGTGGGAGACTTAAGGAAGATATTTAAAAAACGTATACGTTTATTTGTACTATTGTATTGAATAATGAATAATACAAAAACGTAAAAAAATTAATGAAAACAAAATTTTGAAGTTAGTGGTCCGTGAGGTCCAAAAGGTTGGAGACCGCTGTACTACAGAGCATAGCCAGTGAAATATGCCACCTTTGCCATAAGGTAGAAACCAGTGTTTGCTTCACCCTAAAACGTTTTGACTACTTACTTTAGTTACAGAAATAATTTTTTTTTTCTGAGATGCTTTTGGAACTCTTGTTAGAATTGTCTTTGTATATTACTAATATTTTATATTAATATTGTATGCCTATTGTATGAAGGGAAATTCTCTGCTTATCCTATCTCTATTGCACTTCTACTAATTTACACCAGAGTGCCTATCTATTCTATGGGGGCTACTTACTAAAACTGGAGAGTACAAAATCTGGTGCAGCTCTGCATAGAAACCAATTATCTTCCAGGTTTTATTGTCAAAGTTTAATTGAACAAGCCGAAGTTGCCTACCATACACAACTGCACCTGATTCTGAGTGCTCCATATTTAGTAAATCTCCCACCGTATGTATATCTATGAGACCTGAATGAAAAGTCATGCCTCCATGTCTATTATTCATGATTGGACAGGAATATTTGAACAAATTAGGCACAGGAATAATTCTCAGAATTTTCTTATTGTTTCCACATGTTCATACTGCTACATAGACTCCAGATAACTTTATACATTTTTTTCCAACATTAAACAAGCTTTGAGAAGGAACCATAGCAGAAGTTCACGCTCTTTCCCCGGTCATGTCTTGACAGAATTCTCATCTTCTTCACTTGATGTTCATGAAAGTCATCTCTTAATTCTGGAAAAACACCGAAATCGTAAACAGCAAATCTGGGCTGTATAGTAGATGTGGTAAAGTGGTGAGACTCAATAATTTGGGTATCCAAAAATAGCAACTCACATGCTCTTGCCAAATGCCTTTTCTGGGGCATCTGGGGGGCGCAGCACCTCCCTTGATCTGGGCATGGATGACAACACATAGTCCACAAAAATGCTTTGTGTCATCAGCCAGCAAAAGGGACTTAGGAATTGAGGCCCCACAGGGTCCTTAATAGATAAAACAAGGGGTAATTTGTATGTTTTGCAGATATGTACTGCATGTTTTGTTGCTTTGGCATACCTTTTAATAAGTAAATTCTTTAGTTTATAAATTATGGAAATGTGCAATGTTTTTGCTCCTTTATGTGTTTTTTCCTACCCTAATTAGTCATATATAGTATGTCTAATCAATAAACACAAATGACTGGGTAGCGAATAATATCTACTCTCAAAGTTTGATAGCAAAGACAAATTTATTTGACAAAGAACCAATCAGCTGTTCTTTTAGGTACAAAAATGCTATTTTTAAAGCTAGCCTTGTAACAGATTTCCAAGTTTAGGCACTGGTAATATGTCATGAATGGAAGGTTTCCCATTTTCTTCATGGAAATCTCCCAAAGTGGCTGCAATTAAAAAGTTATGACTGCTAGGAGATACAGTATGTGAATGCTTTTAGAGATTGTGCTTCATAGTTTTTGGTACACAAGGGATGGGTAGGAACCTTAAAAACACAACTTATATTGTGGTGGTTGGTACACTCCCATTGGTCTCTGGATACATGTTTTTCAGTGGATTATTAGGAGCCATTGAGACCAGATAAAAAAAATTGTTAGTTGAGCATAAACCCTCATTGAACACCCTATATTTCGTATTGTTGTTTGAAGGTAAGAGTAGAAACATCTGTTAGGCTTTCATTGTTGTCTGTGCCTCTGCTCAGCTGATTCCCTCTCACTTTCTGGTTTGACAACAGTTGTTACTGAGACAAAAAGTGAAAGAAATCTAAACTTTCACAGCTGTCACTAAAACAGCAATAGAGAAGAAATCTTCCCAGAGGAGACAGCCATGCCTGTGACTTCTAAAGGTTAGTCTTCTCCTTACTTTGGGAGATTTCCTGGCACTTCCTATTGCATCTCTAAGATAAGAAGTGAGATGTAATCTT